AAAAAATCGAAATTCATAACAATTTATAGATACATCCCATTATTATCAACTTCTCTTATTGTTAGTCAGTAAGAGTATGCCATGAAAGTAAGACCAAAATAAATGTATTTTAGTAAAGGTTCTGGCAATTTAGTGAAACAAATCAAAAAATCCCTTTTTGGGTATTTTTCTTAATCACCTTATATGATTGCCGTATGCCCTCAGCGGATTATGGGCCATCAGAAAGCGCAAGATTTTCTCTCTGTATTAAATCAGAGATTCCAGTTGGATGAAGTAACAAAATTTTAAAAATTTTGGTACAAGAATTGAAGTAATTCAGATATCTTACTGTTAGAAAAAGTGATTATATCTCATAAATACAATCTGCCTCTCCACAGAAGAAGTCACGAAAATGTACCAACTTCTTACTGTAGAGTTACGGTAGTGGTGCTAACGTAGAATAGCCTAGCAGATTAGCAGCGCTGCGAAAGCTAAGACTACAACTTTCCGAAAATTTGAGTTTTTCATGACTGAATTTTCTGGAAGTTTTTAGTAATAGACTTTGTACTTGAAGCTATTTCGATGTAACATAAAGTTCCACTGAAACATGGTTGTGGTTACAGTATACAACAAATGAGGAGTACGGTATAAGAAGCTCATGATTTAGATCAAGTTGTCTGTCTGGTTTCTGGTCTATAAAGAGCAAAACCAAATGTACTATAACATTTCAAAAATTCAAAGATTTGAGATCTACATTCCAATTATCTATATTTAGAACTTGGTATAGACTTGTACTTGTATGGACTTCAGGTTTTACATATTTCATAAAGTGTATCAAGTTATTCACTATCAGAGATTTCTTACAAATTGCAACCAAACACCAAAAACTTCTGTCAAAAAATTTGTCAAAAACCTCAAGATCACAGGCGCAAAAAACTGGAATTATAATCTCTACTTCCATGGTATTCACCTACGGAACAAAATGATAATTTGTAAAATTTATAGTATAGCTTAAAGAACTGCTTCAAAAGGATTTCTGAAGAGGACAAATTGCGCTAAAACAGGCAAAAGAATGGCAAGAATGCATCATCAGTGTGGACATCGA